AATGAAACTGCAAAAAGATAAAATGCCCAACAGAACTTGAAAAGATCACTGGTTCTCCAGAACACAATAGAAAAACAGCAACTTAAGATAATTCCTATTATCCTGTAAAAATGTCTATTTAAATGTTTGTAGGGTTTATCCATTTCTCCTGCTATGAAACAATTTTCTAGGGAACCAAATTAGTTTCAGAGAAAGATAACAATTGAAGCATCTAAAATACCTCTTTTGGTAAATTTTTTGTATCAAAACAATAAGTGTCTTATTGTTTATTGTTTATGTCTCCAGGATGAAAATTCTATGAAGACAGGGATATGTCATTTTGCTCCCCATTGTACATTAAATATTGCACCAGTGCCTTAAAAGTAAACCTTCAAAGCACATCTGTAGCATGTATGAAGGAATTTTATCAGCTGTAATGAAACAGTAAAGATTTCCCTAAAGTAAATTAAATTTGTTTCTGAAAGTCCTGAATGTGACAACAGAATGTTTCACAATATAGATAGTAATGGTATGTCCTATTGCAAAAAAAAAAAAAAAAAGAAAAAATTCTGTTAGTGAAATTTGTAAACATTTAGAGTTGAGGGGTCACTTGATGTGGAATGATTTCACCAGTATCACTAAGATTGTGCCAATATTTACTGAGGCCATGTCAAAGTCCATATTACCCTCTTATAACCACTGACACATTAAAGAACAAAGACAATTATGATTCATTTGTGGCAGGATTAAATTATATGAATCAAAGTGAGCTCAACTGGAATATTAAACTGAAGAGTACTCCATGGAATGAGGAATCAATTTGTAATTATCACATTGCATGTTAACGTCCATATTGGTTGTTTTTTGGAGAGAAGAAATTGATTAATATATTTGCTTAGCTTTTAAGCTATATATCTTTGGATAAATGCATAAATGAAAGGTTAATCTGAAATACATTTCTAGCAGTCTACCAGACAGATATATGGTACAACAGCTGCCTCTACAGGTTATTTTTATAAGAGCAGTTTTACCTTTATAGTTCTGAACTTTCTCAATGTCTCTGTTTTGGGTTTCTTCGTGGTGCTATGATGCCCAGGGCTGACATTTCAGCAAAAATGGTTGTAAAACTATTTTAAGTCTTTCTGTGGTCAACCTCGTTTCCATATTATCTCTAATCATTTTTACATTTTAACTAAACTATAATGAAACACTGTACATTCTGTTTGTTGCAGATACAAGTAATTGACTTAATGAAAACTCTGAAGAGAGGCTAATCTGCAGTGTCCACTAACACTACAATCACACAGACACACACACCTACTCATAAAACACTGAATGAAACTACTTTGGTACTTTCATCTGAATTGAGAACAGAAACAAAATTTTTTTTCAAGATGTTTGTGCATCAGAGGTACCCTATTTGAATAGAGGCTTTTGCTTTGCATGTCATTGAGTGATGACAGTGGAAGTAGCAACAAAATAACCTCCTTGCAGTTTTACAGGGAAATTTTATTAAACTAATTTAGCTCTTATACATCAAAAAAAAATAAGTTCTTATGAGAGCCATGTGTATCTCTCTCTCTCTCTCTCTCTCTCGCTCTCTCTCTCTCTCTGTGTGTGTGTGTGTGTAGGCACATGCATGCGTGTGTGTCTTAAAGTATCATAAGTTTTGTGGGAAAAAAGATTTCCCATAATTTGGTAGTGATCATAAAGATCATGAGAATACAGTCTTGTATTAAATTCAGGCATCTTTGGTACATCTGATTATTTATATTCCATTTGAATATTTCCCAGAAAAAATGAAATCATTTCTTCAAAAAGCTGATCATTATTTAATTACCAATTACAAAGTTTTCTCACAACTAACTAAATCAACTGCCAGGCATTTTCCTAGCTCTACTTAAGGAATAACATAAAACTCCATTGAATTAACGTTACAGCTCTTTGTCAGGGAGGATGGCTATGCCGGGAATTCTTTCTCTCTATGCTGTAATCTCAGACCCACAGAATACCATTAATGATTGATGGAAATTTTCTGCCTTATTTTGACCTTTTGAAACTGCAACAATATCTGACCTTGTAAACTAATCAATAAATTCCAGGAAATGTACTAGATGTGAAAGTTTTCAGACATAACAGAAGTTTGAAGTCAGTGGCTTTTTGTACTCCATTGATTTATTAGCTTTACCAACCCTACCATTTTTTGTAATTTCCAAGATTAGGTAAAATTTGAACATGTAGGTTTTCCTGTGTGATTTTAATGGTTTTTCTTTTTTGTGAGTTGGTTGCTATTTACAAAGTGCTATTTTGAAATGTCTTTGTTCCTTAATTCTGACTCTTCTCAACTCAGTAACAGATATTTGGTAGCCCACTAAAGATAAAGGGTGCAAAAGCATTACTACTGGGAATTTTCACCAACATCAGGCATTTTCACCATTAAATTGCATAAATTCCTAAAGAGAATTTCTTTAAAAGGAAAAAATGCTTCCCCTTCCTGTATTTATCTACCACTACCTCTACTCACTCCAAACCACAAGACAAAAATTCCTACCTGGTTTATGTATAGTCACTCTCATACAGCACTGAAACTATTAGGGAAGTGAAGAAATTTTGGAGGTAAAAGGAATGATGGCAGTTACCATATCACCTGAGATGGAGTCCCCAATATTTCAAGGCAGGAGGATAAATTACTAAGGGTTCAAACTACTTGGACCATGAATATACTTCTTATGTTTCTTCAAAAGAATAGCACAATATAAAGCACTGGGAGATTTCCTAGATTTATCTGCTTAAATAATGAATAAGAAAAGACAGATATTGGTGGCCTTCCATGAACCCAAACCCTGTTGTATACATAAGTACGTTGAATAAGCGGGTTTACAAAAAAAAATAAAAACTCATTTCCTCCTGCACTAACCAGTTCCTCCCTAGTCACAGAATGGACTTAAGGGTAGGTTCTATGATTTTTCCATTCATCCCCAAATAAGGAACTTTAATTCTCTCATAACAGTCATGGGACTATCTGGTTTGTTAAAGAGTCAAAAATTTATTTAAATTGAAGCAAATCCCCCAGAAAAGGCCTATTTCAGTGCTATGGACTGTACATGTACACTTTCCTCTCTTTTCCTCTGCCTATTTTCGTCTTCCTCCCATTCTTCAGGCTGCTAGTAGTTGCTTGACCATGGGAAAGGTAAAAGCTAGCAGGAGAGGTAAGCAACAGGAAAAACCAATCCCATGGCAACTTGGTGGCTTAGTTTTATTCCTTCCCTCAGGATATGGGACATGTTCACAGTTGACATTTTCTCCTTGTGCATACTTGGAGAGATTGTCACCATTATCCCTATGGATCTCTCACATCCAGCTGGCACCACAAGACTATTAGAGGCCTACCTGGTGGCCAAGGGGTTCGATCCCCAGCCAAGGAGCTAACCCACATGCCACAGCAGACCTCTCCTGTCTCACCCACTATTCCCTCAGCAGTGTATTTCAGTAGATCTGCATGTTCTGCTCCCCACTCTGTCTCTGGTGAATCATCTCAACCTCCCCCACTCCCCACACCTCTGGCCTATACCCAGAAGTATAAATATTAAATAAATAATATAAAAAAAAATTAAGGGCCTCCCTGGTGGCGCAAGGGATTAAGCACCACACTATGAAGCAATCCACAGCTCTGCAGCATGAGTTCAATCCCTGGCCAGCCAGGGACCAATCCACATGGTGAAGCAGATCACTCTTGTCTTGCCTGCTGCTCCCCTCAGCAGTGTGTTTCAGTCAGTCTGCCTGTTCTATTCCCCACTCTGTCTCTGGTGAATCCTCTCACGTCCTGCATCTCTGGTCTATACCCCGGTTCTTGTATGCATAAATAAATAAATATTGAAAAAAAAATTTTAAAAAACTTAAAAAATTTAAGACTCCCCATTGTTTCTCTGGTTTTCAAGCTGTCTGCCTCTGCACATGGTGTCCCACTGCCCTCCAGATAGTCATTTATGCAGAGGCAAAGCCTACACTTCAGACTACTCCAGGCAGCTTCCTCTCCTATTTGATCTATGTCAGATCCACAGGCCACAGCACAGCTTCCCACTAAAGGTCTTCTCCTTGGCTGCTCAAGGCCACTTAGCCAACTAATCATCCTTTAGATTTCTCCAGTCTGAACCAGATGCCTGTCATAGTATCACAAACTGGATTACCAACTTTCTCAAAAATACTTTGCCCAGGGCCTCCCTGGTGGCGCAGCGGTTAAGCGCTGGTTTGTGAAGCTCCCCGCAGCCTCTGCAGCACCAGTTCAATCCCCGGCCATGGGAGGAGGGTTCCACATGGCACGCAGACCTCTCCTGCCGCCCGCTGCTCCCCTCAGCAGTGTACTTCGGTCCTTCTGCCTGTTCTGCTCCCCGCTCTGGCTCTGGTGAATTCTCTCACTCTCCCGCGCTTCTGACTGTACCCAGTGCTTGTATAAATAAGTAAATCTTTAAAAAAAAATTGTCTAATTTCCATCTTTTCTTTCAGCTAAATTTCTAGTCTTTCCCTTATATTCTGGAGGTGGGTAATGCACTAAGGGTGAAAACACCCTTATGCTCTCCTACACAGCCTTTAAAGCCCTGCATCTGTGGGGTTATTTTGGAGCGCAGACATATTCTCCACTTGTTTTTGGTTCTTTTTTCTTTTGAGGTCTTAGCTGAAACTGAGCCCAAGAAGAAGGGGGGGGATACAAAGTCACATTTTAGTATTATAAAGATAGATCCTAAGAATGATCGTGATAGCAATAATTTCTGGCGTACATCTTTTAACTTAAATACTTTCACTTTTTAATCCTGTCCATTAATTTGTATAGTATTCCATAAACCTCTGATCCATTGTGAGAAAACCATACAGGCACCCAAAAATGAAACTGCATATAGACAGTGAAGAACAAAATGCTGTTTTCACTATGGATAGATCTGTGGTAGTTCCCTTCCTACACACACAATTAATGCAACATCCATTAGGACAAAAACTATGTAAGTTTTTCTATTTCCGTTTTATAGGCAGAGATTACGAAAAAGATAAAGTTTGCAAGGAATTGAGCATTCTGGGAAAAGATGACTTCAGATCTTTGTAAGTATCAGGTATTTACCCATTCTCTTGGTCACTTGACTTGAATGAAACTATGTGGTAACTTCCAGTCAGCATAGCGGGCTAAGCTGATCTCTGCTAAGAGGAGAAACATAAGGCAGTGTGGGCAGAGATGTCAGGCAAGTAGAGGACCTCCAAAGATTTCTGCTGAATTATCATTCCTATGGTCTAAGAATTTGTTACCAGCAAATTTATTAATGAGTTAAGACAATATATAAGCATTGTTTTCTAAGGTAAATTAAAGTGAAAAATAGTACATGATGCAACTTGGACAAAGTCTATGAGGTACAAAACTGGTTCATTTGAGGCAGAGAGAAGAGAGACCATTAAGTTGATTTGATGGAACCCAAGTCCAACATCTATTGTTTTACAAGATATATTTACCTAGAATGTTAACTAATTTTTAAACTAAGCTTCATATTCTTTCCAATAAATAGGTAAGAAAATATGTGTAATTTTCCTTTTAAAAATGAGATTTCATATTTAAAATGCACAATGTAGAAAAAATTAGTTCTCATTAATACATTGACTTATTCTTCTCTTCAGATCAATGGTTCTATATAGCAGAAAATTCCCCAGTGGCACATTTGAACAGATCAGTCATCTTGTGAATGAAGTTGTCTCCTTCACAGAAGACTGCTGCGCTGAAGGGGCTGATCCTGACTGCTATGACACTAGGGTACAGTGTTCTGTGACTGGCCAATTCTAGAGCAATCCTTCAAAGGAAGTCAAGATAGGTTTCTATGTCACATCTTGACAGCAGTTCCACTTACTCCAAGTGTGGGGGAAATATGAAACCAAATTTATGATCTCTGGCCCTATATTAACTCAAGCATAATGAAATCAATTTCCCCATTAGTTCTACACAGTTCAAATGATAAAATACAGGCAACTATGGTTAATGAACCTCTTGAAATAATTCTAATGCAGTCTCTATATCTTAAAAACTTACTCAGATCCATATTTGTATCCTCTTGTTAAAACTGGTACCAAGGGCCCCAGAATATTTACGATGCCCTCAAATTATTTTGGGATTCAAATGTTGCTGTGTATACATATACTGGGTTCTGGGTTTTCTTTCTTAAACTGTGTGTGTTGTGTGTTGTGTGTGTGTGTGTGTGTGTGTATTAAAACAATGAAGTAATAGTAGCTGAAAAAGTTAAATGATAGGCATAGCAGCAATTTGCCAATGCAGTCAACAGGCCTGATGCAAATGACATCTAGATGCATCTTGACAAAGGCCTTGACAAATAATTTTCCCTTTTCAAGCCTGCAACAGTCTGCAGAAACAGAGCGTATCCATTCATTGTTTTATCTGGTCCTGCCTTTCTAAGAGTTGTATCATTTTCTTCCACCACCAAGCTCATAAATACCAGTTATTTTTCAAACTCCTATTATTTACAAACCATGATCAAAATAACAGAATACAGTTTTATTTCTATTTTATTTCACATATTTGCTAACCAACCCCTTGATAAACTCTGAATTAGAATTCAAAAGATATAGATGGCACTGACATTTTTTTATGCATAACACCTCTCCTATTTGTTTAAGGCAATTTTAAATGTGCTGATACTTCCTTTTTTGAAACTATTTGAAAGGAGATAATAAAGGGGAAAACAAAAAAGTTGTCACGTAAAGAAATAGAAAGGATACGCGTCACTGAAAAGGCAGGTATTAAAATAAAAGTTCCTAAAAGAATTCTGATAGCTCAACGAAAGATGTGGACCAAAACGATGAAAAGATACTTATTCTTGATTTGCATAATTTATTCATGTGTTGTTTTCCTTAACTGATAGCTTTAGAAGTCCTAAGGCAAAAATATGACTAATGTAAAATTGTGAGAATGTCAAAGTACTTGTCCCATGTAAATCCCCAAATATTTCTCTAACAATTACTTCTATTCTAATGTTTTTATTCCAAACATCATATTTGCAGGGGAAACATTTTGTTTCTACAATTACTTGGGACTGAGTCTATTCTCAGTATCACAGTGTTGAGGTGGTGAATGAAATTGCAGCAGTGCTTTTCAACCTGTGCCACACACAAGAATAAGCCTAGGGGCTTTGGAAAAACAGATCCTCAAATCCCATCTTTTACCTACTGAGTACAATTTCTGTGTTGTGCATCCCAGGTATTTGTTTCTATACACTCCAATTCTGATGGAAAAGTAGGCTCAAGAACCTTTGGGTAAGAGGCTTCAAACCAATGTAGCAAATGAAAGCAGTCAAACATTAAGAGCCTGTTCATTTAATAAAGAGAAAGGAGGAAAACAGAGGCAGGCCCTCATTCTCAAGGGATATTTGCAGCAGAGAGCAAGTGGAAGATCCTATCAGAGCTTTCTCAAATGATCTCCTTCACCCCAAAGATGCTAATAGCATCCTGAAGAGACACTGGGCTAGGGGATAAAAACTCAAATGGTTGCAAATGATGTCTACCTATTAATGAAGGTTATACTTTTATCCTACTCCGAGGAGAGTCATTTAGTAACATAAATAAGACCCTACTTGCATATAGCTATAATTATGCAATTTGTCATGCTGACAAATCATCTCATGCAGCCTTCGGCATGCACAGTTTATTACTGATGAGATTTTAAAGACCAAGATGTACCAAAAAGGATGGAGAGTCTGTAAATCAAGTAAAAGGGGCCCAACTGTATAGTAATAGATGGAAACTAGATTTTTGGTGGCAAACATAATATAGTATATACAGATTGATTTGTAAGGCTATGTACCTGAAATCTATATAATACTATAAAACAGTGTTATTTTAATAAAACATACAAGGGGTCTCCCTGGTGGCACAAGGGGTTAAGTACTGCACTCTGAAGCTATCTGAAGCCTCAAGTTCAATCCCCAGCCTGGAAGCTACCCACATGGCACAGCAGGCCTCTCCTGTCTCGCCTGCTGCTCCCTTCAGCAATGTATTTCACTCAATCTGCCTATTCTGTTTCTCCACTCCGTCTCTGGTGAATCCTCTCACCCCCCACATCTCTGGCCTGTACCCCAGCTCTTGTATGCATAAATAAATAAATCTTTTTTTAAAAAAAGTAAAATAAAACATACAAGATGTTATAGTGAACTACAAGCCTGGAAACTTGCACATGAGTGGACATTTTCTTCTTTCATTCTAGACCTCAGCCTTGTCTGCCAGATCCTGTGAAAGTGACACTCCATACCCAGTGCACCCGGGAACTGCTGAATGTTGTTCCAGGGAGGGCCTTGAACGGAAACTCTGTATGGCTGCCCTGAAGCACCAGCCAGAAGAATTTCCTACCTATGTAGAGCCAACAAATGATGAAATCTGTGAGGCATTCAGGAAAGATCCCAAGGGATTTGCTGAGCAGTAAGCAGCTTTCATTTAAATAGAAAAAATGTGTCTCATCTCACCCCACTCTTTACAAATACCTCTACAACAACCCAGACAGCTCTGTATAACACAACTTGACTCTCACCCAATATAGTGCATCTCTGTCAGTGCTGATAATTAAAAATGCCTTTCTCAGACAAAATCAACTTTCCCAAACTCCCACTCCCAATTCTATTAACTGAAGCAGTCTTAGATTCTGTAGCCACATGGTATTTTCAAATATTTGAAAACAGCTGTTATGAGTCCCCTTATGCTATGAATATATACTCCATCTGATCGAATTTTGTTGCTATTCACATTTTGAACTTAATTTTCTCCTTTCTACAATGTGTCCATAGAAATAGTTATGAACATGACACATTGCACTACATAAATAAACATATTACTTTGAACTTCTCAATGTTAAACATTCATAAGGATCCAGATTATACATTGTTTTTTAATATTAGTCTTGGAAGGTCATAAAAACCAACAAGAATGTAAAATCAATTTATGATAATAGAAAAAGTAATATATAGATCAAAAACCAAAAATAAAGTCATTTAAACTGGTTTTAAGAATATGAAATTCAGGTCATGATTTTATAAAAATTGGTTGGATTACTCATCCTGTTAAGTTTTCAGAGAGGGTTTTGCCAACATTTCAGAGACTCTTTTAGACTCAAAGGGGCTTATGCTCCTAAATATTAAAAAGATTAACAAACAATTAAACATATTCCTAGTGATTGTCTAAAATAGTTAACTGAGGCAGACAATAAAAGGAAAATCCATGACACTCCTTTACATTTGTTCTCAACATAAATAAGCAACTACTGTGAGTCATAAACCTGGTAGACAGTAAATGATTTAAGCAACAAATGACCACTTCTCTCCAGTAATCCACATAGGAGTTAAAGTACCTATGTTTTTAGAGAAAATATTGATTAAAAATGATTAACGTAATGTTCCTTTCTCTGTGTCCTTAGTACTTTTAGATATTAAATTTTATTCATCAGAATAATTTGCTTCCCACTAATGTTTTGACCAACGCTGATATTTTTCCCACAGATTTATATATGAATATTCCAAAAATTATGGACAAGCTCCTCTGCTGTTGTTAGTCGGCTACACCAAGAGTTATCTCTCCATGGTAGGGTCCTGCTGCACCTCACCAAATCCAACTGTTTGCTTTTTGAAAGAGGTAGGTGTCATTTTATCTATGACACAGTTATTTTTTTATCTTCTGTTGATATCATTCCATTTAAATAACAGAAATGGTCAGATTTCAGAGTCAATGAAAGTTTGTAAAAGGCCTCTTTTATATTTTGTTAATTGGAGAAATAAACATAGCACTTTTGTGAAAGAAATATCAATAACTTCCTTTGGTCAGAATTCAGTTTTCTAGCCAAAACAATCATTACCTTTATGGTTGTCTTTTGCTATACCTGTACATTGCAATGGATCTTTATTATCTAATGAACTTCTCCCTTAATTTCTAGAGACTCCAGATTAAACATTTATCACTTCTCACCACAATGTCAAATCGACTCTGTTCACAACATGTTGCTTATGGGAAGGAGAAATCAAGGCTCAGGTAAAGGTTAAACACTATCAACAACTTTAGGCATCTAATTCTGATTCTGTGCTTTCTAACCAAATTAGGATTCTCAAAGAAAAAATTTGTAATGAGATTTTATAATTTTATGCTCCAGTAAGCCTCAAAAATATGGCCCAGTTCTTTTTTTTTCTCTATGCAGAATATAAACAATAAAGAACAAGCACATATTATAAAACACAAGATTTGCTTTTAATAAACCTTTTCCATATACTCATCATATTGGAAAATTGGTAGACACTAGACATAATTTCCTCAATATTCATTTTAGCACATATTACAAACACAAAAGAAAAAAACAGATTATTCTTTTTTTCATCTGTTATTTGCTTTGTGCACTTTCCCCCTTGGGATAAGACTTCTTGAATTCTACTTGTGATATGAAATTTTGTGTTATATACATTTCCTAACCTTCACGAATTTATCTTAATTATTTAGCAACTTTATTTGTAACTCGCTTTGATTTTTTAAAAAATTTTTAAGGTAAATCCAGATTGCTTTCTGTAATGGTTGTACCAGTTCATATTCATACCAAAAGGCTTCCTTTTCTCTGTGTCACTGGGAATCTCATTAACATGTGCCGTTCTCACAGGTCTGAGAGGGTATTGCACTGTAGTTCTAATCTCATCTCTCTTATTATAAGTGACAATGAGCATTTTTATATATCTTTTGTCCTTCTGGATATCCTCTGGTGAATTGTCTGTTCATTTACCTGTTTCATCTTTTCAGTGTTGACACTGATTCCTTTTACTCTGACCCATAAACTTTACCCTCACATGGTAAAGAAAGAATCTATTTCATGCTGGGACAAGGTCCCAAGCTTCCCTGATGGAAGCTTTCCTTTGTCTTTTTTTTTTTTTTTTTTTAGATTCATTTTTATTTATACAAGAACCGGTGTACAGGTTAGATGTGCGGGAGGGTGAGAGGATTCACCAGAGACAGAGCAGGAAACAGAACAGGCAAACGGACCAAAGGCACTGCTGAGAGGAGCAGCAGGTGAGACAGGAGAGGTCTGCCTCACCAAGTGGGATTCTCCCTGGCTGGCCAGGAATCGAACCAGCGCTGAGGAGGCTGTGGGCAGCTTCAGAGTGTGGCGCTTCACTCGCTGTGCCACCGGGGAGGCCCTCCTTTGTCTTTTTAAAAAAATCTTCCATTAGAACTATGAAATACTAAGTTGTATTTTCACTAGACCTTCCCTTCAGTTTTCTTTATTTTGCAAATAGGCTATAGAATTTATAATATAAAATCACATATATAAGATATAACTATCATTAATTTATACTTGCATTAGTATATACAAACTTACAAGGAAGTAGTATCAAATGAATAGGTATTTATCTAAAAATATTACTGCTACTGGGCCTCCCCTGGTGGCGCAGCGGTTGAGCACTGGGCTGCGAAGCTGCCCGCAGCCTCTGCAACACCAGTTCAATCCCTGGTCGCTGGCAAGGGTCCCACATGGCGTGCAGACCTCTCCTGCCATGCCCGCTGCTCCCCTCAGCAGTGTACTTCGTCAGTCTGCCTGTTCTGCTCCCAGCTCTGGCTCTGGTGAATTCTCTCACCCTCTCGTGCTTCTGACTGTACCCAATGCTTATATAAATAAATAAATCTTAAAAAAAAAAAACCTGCTACTTTTTTAAATATAAAATGTTTGAGACTTCCTAATTTGCTAGTAATGAGATTGAATCAGTAATTAAAAACCTCTCAACAAACAAATCTAGAACCAGATGACTTCACTAGAGATTTCTACCAAACATTCAAAGAATATCAATTCTCAAACTCTTCCTGCCTGCCCCCCAATGAACTCTTTCAAAATCATTTTATGAGGTCAGCATATCATGATGCCAAAATCAGACAGAGATGAGAAAAGAAAATTATAGGCCAATATTCCTGATGAACTAGTTGCAAAATTCTCAACCTAATATTAGCAAACCAATTCAATAATACATGAAGAGGATCATACACCATGATCAAGTAGGATTCATACTAGGAATGCAATGATGGGCCAATATCCACAAATTAGTCAGTGTGATATACCACATTAACAAAATAAAAGATAAAAATCATGACCATCATAGTTGATACCAAAACAAAAAAGATTCAGCATCCATTTATGATACTCAAAATTGATATAGAGAGAACATAATTGCAACAAAATAAAGGTCACAAATGACAGGCCCACAGCTAATATCACACTCAATGTTAAAAAGCTGAATACTTGGGCCTCCCCGATGGCGCAGCGGTTGAGCGCTGGGTTGCGAAGCTGCCTGCAGCCTCTGCAGCGCTGGTTCGATCCCCGGCTGCTCCCCGGCCACCGGAGGAGGGTCCCACATGGCGCGCAGACCTCTCCTGCCGCCCGCTGCTCCCCTCAGCAGTGTTCTTCGGTCCTTCTGCCTGCTCTGCTCCCCGCTCTGGCTCTGGTGAATTCTCTCATCCTCCCGCGCTTCTGACTGTACCCAGTGCTTGTATGTATGTATGTATAAATCAATCAATCAATCAATCAATAAATAAATCTAAAAAAAAAAAAAAAAAAAAAAAGCTGAATACTTTTCTTCTAAGATCAGGAACAAAGACGACCACTCGTGCCTCTTTTATATAGCATAATATTGTCCTAGCTAGAGCAATTAGGAAAGAAAAAGAAATAAAAGGCATCCAAATTAGAAGTAAAATATCACTATTTGCAGATGACATAGTATGATAAGTAGAAAACACTAAAGATGCCATCAAAAGAGTGAGGACTATCAAATTCAGTAAAACTGAAGTATACAAATATTAACACATAAATCTGCTGGATTTCTATACATTTACAAACCATAAGAAAGAAATTAGGAAAACACTATCATTCACGATTACATCAAAAATGATAAAATACATAGGAATAAGTTTCATCAAGAAACAAATTTAGCTAAGCAGGTGAAAACTACTAGATATTTATGAAGTTGAAGAAGCTATAAATGGAAAGCCATCCTGTGCTCATGGATTAGAAAAACACTGTTAGGATGCTCACACTACCCAATGTCTTGGGGAACCCTTGTGCACTGCTGGTGGAAATATAAATCGCTGCAGTCATTATGCAAAACATTATGGAAGTTTCTCAAAAAAATATAAATACAACTATCCTATATGATTTCATCCAAACAAAATCCTAGAAACATAACTAATGCCTGAAAGCATACCAGTGACTGTCTAAGAAGCAAAGGAGAGTCCAGAGAGGGGAGAAAAAGAGGACTACAAATGGGAATAAGAAAACTTTGGGGGAATGATGGATATACTCATTATCTTTTGTTGTTGTTGTTTTGTGGTAATGTAGGTCTGTAACTCTGTATATGTTTTAAGAATACAAGTTCACACCTCTTTCACCAAAGCACCCATAATCCTCTACCACAGTCTATTTGCTTGACAGTTTCATGATGGTGTTAGTTTCATGAGTGTGTACATATATTAAAATTTATCAAATATGCAATTTAAATATTTTCAATTTATTATATGTTACTAAAACTATTTTTAATATTATTATGTATATAATATGATCCAGCAATTCCACTTCTGGATTTAGCCAAAGAAAATAAAAACCCTAACCCTTGAAAGAAATGTTCACATATTCATTTCAGCATTATTTACAATAGCTAATATATGGAAACAACCTAAGTAAATGCCCATTAACAGATAACTAGAGAAAGAAGCTGTGGAATACATATACACAAAGGAATATTATTTCCAGCATATTATGTTAAATACAACAAGTCAGACAAAGTAAGATAAACGCTGCATGAGCTGTCATATGTGGAATTTAAATAACAAAAAAGATCTAACAGTTTAAGGCATTCTTCAACTATGTAGACCTGACCAGAAAAGAAGTGACATCATCAGTCCTAAAAAAATGAAAAGATTCTTGAGGATAACTGAATTTTGAGTACAGGTTTGGCACCTACGATCCATCACTTAGCAGGTATGTGCCATACAGATGATGAGGACAGAGTTGAACTATGGTATTATTCTTCCACACCATATACTCATAATGAAATCAAGAAAATTGAGAATGTAAGATAATGTTTATTTTTAACTATTTAGCCATCTCATAAAATTAGCACAAAAAGTGCCAACTGCTGATTTGAAGGATGTTTTGCCACTAGCAGAAGATGCTACCACAATCCTCTCCAAGTGCTGTGAGTCTAACACTGAGGACTGCATGGCCAAGAAGGTAAGAGAATCCAGGTCCCCAAGCCCTTCATCATTATATACCATATATTGAGTGGCAAGCCCTTGAAGCTGCCTTTTTAAATGCATTATCTCAATGAATCCATACATATATCCTATGAAATGTAATATATTATTAAAATCCCTTTATAATTGCAAAAAAACCTAGAAGACTAGCATGGATCATTAATTTGAAATCACATAATGAAGTGGCAAAGTTCACACATAGGTCAGATTATCTGATTCCCAACACCTTATTCTACTTGCATGGCAGTATATCCTAGCCCTGTATGTTTAAGTTTACTATAATTAGCATTAAATAAAATTTTGACTTCAGTTTCTTCTGTCACACTATTCCAATATCAAATGCATAATAATAATGGATAATACAGCTACAGATCATTTTCGTCAGCACATAAAGTCTTATTATATAGCACTGCAACCATTACATTATTAGAAGCTATTAATGTTTTTATTATAGCTATTATAATTTGATGGTCATCAATTTTTTTCATCATTTTTTATTTACATGAACTTTATACTAGTAGATACTAATTGGAACAGTTACTTTTAGGTAAAGATCATTCCACAGGTCTTTGACTTTCTTTAGGAATAAATGTTTCCATTAAGAATGTCTATGTTAATAGGTGTTTTCCCATAATTTGACTTATATGTAATGAGTTTTATTTAGCTAATATATCTACGGTACCTACCAACCTTCAATATTTTAATCAATACTGCTTCTTAATAGCTTTGTAGCTAAATCTTCCCTTCACCCACAGTTGAATATAAATTCTTAGGTGTCAAATTGTATATTTAAGACTATAAGCACATACTTACAAATTACCCTCTAAAGATAGTCCAACAATCTACTTTTTAAGAGCATTCACACTGAATTTTATATATACCATGCCAAGGTTTGTGAGCTTATGTAAATCTTCAGTATTTTTAATTAGACCAATCAGAACACTAACAATTCACAAATTTACAATTACTTTTGTAGCTACCTGAACACACAGTAAAAATCTGTGACAACTTATCCACAAAAGATGCTAAGTTTAAGGACTGCTGTCAAGAGAAAACACCAATGGATGTTTTTGTGTGCATTTACTTCATGCCAGCGGCCCAATCACCCGAGCTGCCAGAAGTTGAGTTGCCCACAAATAAAGATGTTTGTGGTAAACACAGCACCACAATCATAGACCAGTAAGTAGAGTGGATCTGAGTAATTATTTCTTGATAGTATTGCTATTCACTAACATTAAATAAGCTAGAAATCAAATAGAAAGAAATTAAAAATCTTTGTCTGTTTTATTCAACTAAGAAAAGAATTAAGAAATACCCCCTGGGTTGCATACACTGGGAACACGATGAGTATATGCATACTCTTGGCATAAAAATATTTCATATGTAGGTTAAATTATCAGTTCTGAAAATCACTTACCAACATCAGAGGACCGAATTTATACTGGGCTGCCACTCTAATTTCCATTTGTCTAAATACTCATTGGTTTTATAAGTGCATCGACAGCAAGGGGATAAGACATTGGAAGAAATTACACATATCTATTTACACAAAAAAGCTTTCTATGAAAAGAGTGATGTTTTATGTAAGGTTTTTATAGTTGCACAACCCATACATATTTCAAGTAGATATGTTAATATATACCTATGCAAATACAGCATACATAGCTTTCTCAGTATTATATAAAATAGCTTCAAACGAACTGCATTACAATGAGGATTTTTTAAAATATAAAACCTTTTATTTGGAATCAATTTCAGTTTGGGCTAAATTCCTTATTTTTAATTAAGAGACAGAAACCAGGTACTCTCTGCTTGTAACAGATATCAAATCTTAAGGTATGATATATACACAAATTATGCACGTTAAAGAATATTATCTCCTCTTTCTCCAATGCCAGGTATACATTTGAATTAAGTAGGAGGACTCATATTCCAGAAGTATTCCTCAGTAAAATACTTGTGCCAACCCTGAAAAGTCTTCGTGAATGCTGCCACTCTGAAGACTCTACTGCCTGCTTTAATACTAAGGTACAATTTGCCTCATTTTCTTCATCAACCTTAGTGTATGTAGATCAAGGGTTGGTAAACTGCAGTTCATGGGCCAGATCTGGGCCAGTGCTGTGTTTATTTGACCTGTGAGCTAAGAATGGTGCTACATTTTTTAATGGCTTAAAAACAAGGATTAATCTTCCATTGCTCATAAAAATTATGTGAATTCACATATCTGTGTTCATAAAGCTTCACTGGAACAGGACCATGCTCAACCATGCATTGTTTATGACTGCCTTTTTTACAATAATGGCAGAGTTGAGTAGATACAACAGATTATATATGGCCTTTGAAGCCTAAAATATTTACTATCTGACTTTTTCAGAAAATGTGTTCCAATGCCTGGTATAGATAAAAATTGTTCATATTGACACACTACATAGAATTCTGTTGTAATGCCTCCTGGGAAAATTTACCGAGACAAATAACTTTGATTTCTTACAGGGCCCTGAACTGAAGACAGAATTATCTTCTTTCATTGAAAATGGACAAGAACTATGTGCAGATTATTCAGAAAACACATTTACTGAATACAAGAAAAAGTAAGGGACTTGTTCTGACTATATTCTCCAAATTTATCTATTTCAGTCTTGCACTGTGATCTGAAAGCATAGTTTAAATTAAGATGGGCTAAGTGAGCAATAAAAAGAAGTAAAAGTAAAAGAGTTTTAAGAAGTAGTCAGAACATAAAATTTGTGTAAGAAGAAAGTTCTTTTCTGAGGGGAAAATATCATGTATATCCAGTGAGAGATCAATTAGTGCCACCTAGCAGAGCAGCAACATTGGAAGCAGTGGGATAAGAGATTTCTCAAAGCCCATGTGAAGCAGTGAGAAGGAGAAGCAGCGTACACCAAGAAAGTACAGCCCCGGTACAAGGTTTGTCTTGTATTTATTTAGAACCAGGTTCGGAGAAGGTGGGAAAGTGCATGGGGAATGTACATGCCTGGGGATGTGATATTGGGGATGCTTTATCAGTGATGCATTATCATCTGGCGCAAGCTAAGGTGGAGTGACCAGGGGCTATTGCTTGTGGGGCTCCATAGTTCCTGCTAATCAAAACATACTATCTCAATTCGCTATTTTTACCTAGCTTACTGTCAATCTTTACAAGTAAGGTATTTTAGCTGATTTTGATAATCAGGCTATAATATCTGCCTGCTGTTTTCAGCAGACACTGGTTTCCCAGTATGTTCCTCATACTGTTACAGGGCAACCCCAATGGGAAATGGGTTCACCTGACTGTGGGTCCTCACCCGAGTGCTTAAAAGGGATTTATAATGAGACTCACTGTAGGCACACACATAAAAAAAAAAAAAAAAAAAAAAAGGTTAATACAGGGTTTATTTACAAAAAGGGGAAAATGAAGAAAGGAATAACCCAGAAAGAGAAAGACATAAATTGGTGAATGCATCCTACCAGTTCTGCTAAGCTGAGACCCCAATAGCATGCTGAAAGCCATCAAAAAATGAAGAGGCCCCAAAGTCCACATGTCTGGTTATATACCAAGCCTGGCTGCTTAACTCCACCCTCGCCAGCAATCCTCCCTTTGGTGGTGAAGACATTATAGGATTTGTAGTTCTTGCTATCTTGGATCTCTTTGGTCTGGGGTGGAGCTAGAGTCCGTAAAAACCTGTTTGTGAAATTTGTTCAGGACATCCTTTCCCCCCAATTCCAGGACTTTTGCCCTTGTTTAGAGGGTCCCTGCCTGACAGTACATTTAACTTAACCAGCAGAAACGCTGGGCACCAAGACAACAGCCCTGAGAACAAGGAAGGGTGGGGATCCCACAAATTTAGAACATAGCCACAAAAATACAAGTTACTGCAGGCACCTGACCAAAAAGATAAAAGAAGCCCACAGTTTATCAACATTCATGCCATAAAGCTATCTGTAAATAACAGTATAAGTAATTGATAAAATACAAAACTGGCAAAAGTGTTATCTAACTTTGTAACTTATTATCTGACAAGATAAATCCAAACTTTCAATCAAGTATAGTATTACCCATCACCAAGTATTCTGTATACGTTGGAAATACAAATGCTAATTAGTCATCAATATTGTTTTACAATAGTAATTTTTCTCAATTAAATGGAAAAAGCTTTTCTTTACAAAGAAGTATTAACATCAGGGCCTCCCCTGGTGGCGCAGTGGTTGAGCGCTGGGCTGCGAAGCTGCCAGCAGCCTCTGCAGTGCCGGTTCGATCCCAGCAGGCCAGCAAGGGTCCCACATGGTGCGCAGACCTCTCCTGCTGCGCCAGCTGCTACCCTTAGCAGTGTACTTCATCAGTCTGCCTGTTCTGTTCCCCACTCTGGCTCTGGTGAATTCTCTCACCCTCCCGTGCTTCTGACTGTACCCAGTGCTTGTATAAATAAATAAATCTTTAAAAATTAAAAAAAAAAGAAGTATTAACATCAAAATAAAGGCCAGGTCCTCCCTGGTGATGCAAGGGGTTAAGTGTCAGCACTATGAAGCTATCCACAGCCACTGCAGCATGAATTCAATCTCCAGTCAGGGAGCTGACCCACATGGCACAGCAGACCTCTCCAGTCTTTCCAGCTGCTCCCTTCAGCAGTGTATTTCAGTCAGTCTGCCTGTTCTGCTCCCCACTCTGTCTCTGGTGATTCCTCTTAGCCCCCCACATCTCTGCTTATACCCCAACTCTTGTATGCATAAATAAACTTTAAAAAAAAAATCAATAACAGCCATAGTCATAAAAATAGTTTTACTGGGTTTCCTAGAAAATATCTCAATTGAGAAGACTATCTCATTTATTAGATGGATCTAAAGTCTGAGATTAATTTCAAATCATCTTGAATAACATAGGCTTCAAGTAAGCACAAACAAAACTCTACAAAAGACTGTTCTAAGAATCCCAAATGTAGGAGACCACATTTGATGACTTTCATGAATTCAACCTTAGCAAAACTCTAAAAGAAAATTAAGTCTTAAGTTCAAAATGGTTATTTCCTAGTTACCAGGAAATTAATTGTATAGTTAACAGAATATTATGAGTCACTTTATAATGTTAAACAAGTAATGCAAGATTAAGTTCCCTACCATTTTTGAACTGCAGGATTACATGAAGCAATTGAGTGATAATATACACTCAATTCCAGATGAAATCATAGAATTGACATTCAGGGTTATGAAACTGGTGAAGATTGAGAACACTGAGTATAAGGATTTGAAGTCTTGACTCCTCTTTCATCCCCCTCCATCCTCTGAGTTCCATGAGGTCAGACTTGCCTCCCTTCCCAGCTGGGACTAACTTATTTCCACAAAACTTTCATGAACTCATTAGCCCTCTTACCCTCTTGTTCGTTCTAAGCATCTACCTTGCCTGTCTAAACTCTGGATAAATTTGGGTCTTTCCACCTCTCATTGCCTATTACTGGGTTGTCAAGTATTTCCTGGAGGAAATCAAAGCATTAGGCTGAGTTGTCCATTATGAAGTAAACAGCTATCATTATTGACAATTCCAATGGGGAAAGACTCAAGAGAATTCAAGATGATCCTAGCATCCTGAAAATGAGATGGATTGTTAGTATTCGAGTTAAAAACAAGAGCCAACCTTTCCTACCCTTTTTTCATGTTTTCCAGTATAGCCAGCTGAAAAGTTGGAAACTGAAGAGAAATTATATAAAAATAGAAAAGAGAAAAAATATTAAAGTTAGCTTAAGTTCAGTAAGAGAAATACTTTAATGGGACTGGAAATCGAGAACTAGAGTGAAAAATGGAAGGCCAGCGAAACAAAAGTAGTCATTCATGTTGATTGTGTAAATGGAAGGGGAAGGGCTAGAATTCAAATTCAGTAGCAGTTTGTACATTTATTTTCATGATCTCTACAGGGGAAGATTTTACTTTCCAATCTCAAATCACTGAAAATCATTCTTTTGACAAGGAAAATTCTATTTTAATTTTTTATTGTAAAATTTGAAGGAGTTATCATTTTGCATTAGCAATCTTTATAAAATACATCTTGTAAAGTCTAGCAAAAAAACAATTTTTCAGACTCGCAGACCGATTAAGAGCAAAACTGCCTGATGCCACAGACACAGAACTTGAAGAGCTGGTTGATAAGCGCTCAGACTTTGCTTCCAAGTGCTGTTCCATAAATTCACCTCCTCTCTACTGTGATTCAGAGGTAAGAAAATCTGGTCCTTCACTTGTGACTCTATGGTGTTTCAAGAACATATTCATTTATTCATTTGTTACTAAACTGCCATTATGTGGCAGACTTTTCCTGGTGCTAGTGCTATTATAACTGTTGTTTTTACAATGTGTAAGGGCAGGACTGGCCACAGTGCAGGTTTTCTGATCCCATGCAGACCGGATAAAGGAGGAGTCAGAGTCCTCAGTAGTTTTTTGCAGGTTTTTTATTTGGGGTTCACCAGGCATATGGCAGGCAGGGGTGCTGGCTGGGGGGCTGGGAGGCTGGCAGGCCTCCCAGCCCCCAGCAAGTCTTCACTCTATCTGAGCTCTCTGGCGTTCGTTCTGCTGCTTCTCGGCTTCTGCTTCGGCTTCTACTGCTGCTACTTTGGCTTCTACTGCTGCTGCTGCGGCTGCTGCTGGCGTCCCCGTGACGCCGCCCTTAAAAGCACAGTCTTAACTCAGCTGAATCCCATCTACCTATGCCCACACCCTATTCCAGGTGCCCGCCATCAGGCATGCATTCAGGACAAGGATCCATCATCTATCCTGATGGCGGAAGGGCAGAAAAGCCTGATATTTTCTTTACCCTACACAATGGAAAAAAAGAAAAGTGCTTCCACGTTAAGCTCACTTAAAAGCAAACTGAGGCAGTTGCAAAACTTATGAGGCTTTACATTAACAAAAGAATTTAAGAATACAGGCAGGGCCTCCATGGTGGCTTACGGGTTAAGTCTCAGCTCTATTACCACTGTTATAGGACAGGGAGAGGGGCAGCCCAAAACCCCGCAAACCTGCCTATTCTAAATGGGTTCGGCCAGGCTCCATCCTGCTTCCTTCCTCAGTTTCTTTTGTAGCTTCTCCTCTTCCTGCTCAGCTCCACCCTCCCTTGGGTGGGGCAGGAAACCTCCCCCTTTCCTGGGGACCACCCTGTTGCACCACTATGGCCTGAGTTTGATCCCTGGCCAGGAAGTTAATCCACAAAAGGTGCAGCAGACCTCTCCTGTCTCTCCAGCTGCTCCCTTCAGCAGTGTATTTCAGTAATTCCACCTGCTCTGCTCCCTACTCTGTCTCTGGGGAATCTTCTCACCCCAGCACCTCTGTCATACACCCCAGTTCTTCCATGCAAAAATAAATAAATCTTTTTAAAAAGCATACAGGCAGCAAATCTAGGACACTGTTTTTCAATCTGTAGGTTGTAATCTAGTAATATCTTTTCATAATGAAAAGAAAAATATAGTAGAAAGAACCCATCTCACAGTGTGAGGGAAAATATTTTGTGAATTTAATTTCATACTATGTATATGCATATGTATACAGGTATTAATAGAGAAACTGATAGAAATGTTTTCAGAAAAATGAATCCTGGGCCTCCCTGGTGGTGCAGGGGTTAAAGACAGCAATATCAAGCTACTGCAAGCCACTACAGCACCAGTTCAATCCACAGCTGGCAAGGAAGCAGCCAACAAGATGCAGCAGACCTCTCCTATCTCCCCTGCTGCTCCCCTCAGCAGTGTATTTCAGTAGATCTGCCTATTCTGCACCCCACTCTATCTCTGGTAAATCGTTTCCCCCCCTGCACCTCTGGCTTGCACCCCAGTTCTTGTATGCATAAATAATCTTAAAAAAAAAGAAAAAGAAAAATGAATTCTACCTTATTTTCTATATTAATTATAAAAGTTACAAAATTTTGCATTAATACAACACACAAAAATGAAATGTAACACAGAATTAGTAAAGGTCCAATTGTGTATCATAAGAATATCTTCTAAAACTAAAAAGATTTAATTACATTAAAATGCAGTCATTTTTCAGTTACAATTTTTCTTTTAGACACCATCAATCTACTCCCAATTCAGAGATCATCAGAACTTTCATGTGTCTTCCCATTTCCCTCCCCACGCCTAATTTGTTAGTTCTAGGGTTCATCTTTCTTTAAATGTTAATTCCCCTCCAATCCAGTCGCTCCCTCATTCATTCTGCTTCTCCTATCTCCCTCCTCCTGTCTTCTCCCTTTGCATAGTTGTCAGATCATTTTTAACTTTATGCATAACACAGAGGTATTTCCCACCAGTCCTTTTATTTCCAATGCTAGTAGGTTAATTACAATAGCCATTTTACTGCATCCGAGTTTACTGGTTTTCTCCTATAAACCCCAGTGTGCAGCCAGCAGTTGGTGTTCTAAATCTTTATGCAGACTGAAGGAGTGGAGAAGTGGGTCTGTTGCAGGTAGACCTGGTCTTGTTTTTAGATTTTGTTAAATGTCTCATACTCAGATTGCCTCACCTAGTACCTTCCCTGTTCCATGGGTGATGCTTTCGTTTTCAGATGCAAATAACTGCTAACCTCCTTTCTCATCCCTTACCACCTCCCTTCATTCCCCTTCCTTCTCTCTTATACTTCAGGCAAACTGGCACATCACCTGCAGTTCATCACATCTCTCAGAAAAGTAGATTTTATGATCCCCAATGTCACAGCTGCATTAAGCTCATTACTACTATATGTTAAGCAGAATATTAAAAGCCTTCCGTGTATGTATTTATGAAAAATCTAAAAAAATTGTAAATGCTAGGTAATATTTTAATTCCCATTTTACAGATGGGTTGAATGAGAGATGTTTTATGGAGTTAAGAAAACTACATAATTTATTCCACATCAGACTGTAACTTTCTTCTATGCCATTGTCTTAGATTTCAGCCCTAATTTAGCTAATAAAGACAAAAGCAAAATACTGATACCAAAAGACTTAATTATTAATGAAAATATAAAAATAAAATTTATTATAAAAAATAAATAAATAAATGGTAAAATAATACCAGGTCAGAAGTTTCACTCTGAATGCCATTCATCCCACTTCCTTGGGATCTTCTTCCATTAAGTTATGCTCAGCTTTTGCTTCATTATTTTCTTTATATTGGACCTGTCCAATTTAAGCTATTTATCTCCTCTTTATGAAAGTAAGATACTTTAGCACTGGACACTACTCCCACATTATTTTTCTTTATCCTCCTCTTATAGCCAAATTCTTGAATATATGTATATAGTATAAATCTATATATAGTGTATATGTAGTATATATAGTATACAATCTCATTCTTGATATCTCCTTTAATTCCTCAACCCTTTAATAAGCAATCCTCTGACTGCTCTCCATTGTTTCTAAGTTGAAGTCCAATATTTCTTTATTAACAAACTAAGAGATTTTGGTACTTGATTTATGCTCATCTGGTGGTTTTCCAAGTGCATTAAACTTGTTCTTACCTCAAAGCCTTTGCATATGACTCATTCTGGATTGTACTATCCTTACTCCCCTTAGGCCGACTAGGTCTTTCACAAGACTCAGGATTCAATTTAAATATCACTTCCTCTGGGAATCCTTTCCCAGTATTCCTTGTTTGTTTTTTTTTCCCTGTTGTCATTTAACATTCTGTGAACACCCAATAATTACCATTTCTTAAAGTCTATTGTCTTTTTTTTCTTGTTTTTTTTCCAAGAAGCTTGTAAACTCTTCAAGGACAGGGACAATGTAAAACTAAATAAATGTGAAGAGTGGTCAATAAAAAATTCAGCATAAAACTGCATTTTGATGAGAATCCTTTCCTCTAGCAAGGCTTTGGCATTTTGTTTTCCTTTTGCATGATTTAGTAATCTACAAGCAAAATACTTCATGAATTAAACAATACTTTCTTTTCATTTCAGATTGATGTGGAAATGAAAAACACCCTGTAGTCCTGAATCATTTGTATTGTCTTAAGTAAGTAGTTTTTAAAGGCAACAAAGAACCCAATTTTATATAGTATATTTTACAAATCATGTAATTTATTTAATTTATTCTAATTTAATTCTATTCATTTTATTTTTTCTAATTATTATTGACTCAAACTCATTTTACAGATAAGAATGTTAAGCATTTGGAGAAGTTAGGTTTCACAAGTATGACCAACATTTAGAACTAGAATAACATTTAGAACTAGAATCCAGGTTTCTAGTTTAGTGATGTATCCATCACAAACTTACATCTAAGATTAAGAAAACAAAGATCACTTAAGAGATTCTGATATATTCAATAGAAAAAACTAAGCTTAAAGCCAGGATTCACTGAGTCTTAAACAGAACACAGCATGAGTCTTAGAAGGAGAAAAAAAAGTATTCTTCAAATTAAAGCAATATTTAAACATTACCATTTGCTTTTTTAATACATTGCTTTTTCACACATTTAAAATTATCTGATGTTACTGAGAGCTTAAAATAGTTTGAGACATGGGCCTCCCTGGTGGCACAGCAGTTGAGTGCTGATTTGCGAAGCTGCCCGCAGCCTCTGCAGCACAGGTTCGATCCCTGGCTGCTCCCCGGCCACCAGAGGAGGGTCCCACATGGCGTGCAGACCTCTCCTGCTGCCTGCTGCTCCCCTCAGCAGTGTATTTTGTCAGTCTGTCTGTTCTGCTCCCTGCTCTGGCTCTGGTGAATTCTCTCACCCTTCCGTGCTTCCTGACTGTACCCAGTGCTTGTATGTATAAATAAATAAATAAATAAATAAATAAATAAATAAATAAATAAATAAATAAATAAATCCTTAAAAAAAAAAAAAAAAAAAAATAGTTTGAGACATAAATCTTAAATTTCATACCTGAAATTGAAGGTGTACATGGAAACAAAAATATTTTCTTGCCAGATCCAATTGTATTCATTATGAAGATTACTTCTGAGATTAAGAAAATGATGAGAGCAATCACTTTGTGTTATCTCAGACCATAATTGAGGTGTTTCAATAATGTGTGGAATTGGCCAAGGAAATTCATTTTTGAAATCACCCAATCTGGACTACAATCCCTGCTCAACTATTGATCTTTGTGAACTTAAGTTATTTATATTTCCTGAAATTTGATTTCCTTTATTTGTAAAATTACAATACTATCCTCTCAGAATTCCTGTAATGATAGTAATAATACATAATATGTCTAGAAAATAGAGACTAAGATGTTAGTGCTGCTGCTTCTACCACTACTGGTAACATGAAGCTGAACTAAAACAAGTTTCCCTATCAATGTATTCTTATGCTTTGGCATACAGATATTACATCATAAAGGGAAAGTAAGTTCTCTAATTTCTGAGGGAAAAAAATCAAAATCCAAGTTATTTCCCATATAAAAATTCTAGAGTTTAAAGAAAATTCTGTAGTTAAAATAACCCTGGTATCTGTTACTAAGCTATTCCTCTTCCTTCACTTAAATGAATTCAAGTTTCAAATTCTTTATCTCAATTTATATCCAAACTCTAAGAATCAAAAATCCCAAAAGTTACCTTACTTCCCACCCTTCAAGATATCTTAAGCTTTAGTAAGAATCATTGCTGTTTTGAAAGCCATAAGATAATTTTGACTCGAGTTTATTTTCACTGAACTACATTGTTTTTTAGGAACTCAGAGGGCATTTTCTTGGCATTTCATGTAATATTCTTTCAAACTCTGGAAGATCAAATTGAAATAGAAGAGGGTATTCGAAGAAATACAAGGCAAAGAACCTTAATTTGATGAATCTCGAGTTCTTTTTTTTAACCTAAGAACTTTCAAAAACATTTTTAATGCTAAGTCAAACGTGAACTCAATTTTTCAGTGACAGATCAAAAGTCCAGTATACTGATTGTTCTGGTTTATAGTTATAAACCACATAAACATTTTGATCATCTGGAAGGAAGTCCTAAAATCATTCACATATTCTCCATAGATTTCAATAACCTGTATTGACACTCGAGTTCAATTTTATCTACTACCTATTATACCTCCACTACCTCTCAACCTGCAATAAAGTGCAACCAAGACTGTTTACCAGGAATAGTTACACAATTTTGAAAAAATAAATTCTATCCTTCTCACATGGCTATAAGGCTGGAGCACTTGATATTCACAGATTAATAATAGCTCAACCCAGATATTTCATTAGGTTTCCAAATTGTGGTTCTTGGGCTCCTGACAGGACAAACTTAGATTCTCAATAGCATTGCCCCTAAACACAGTCCCTTTGTGAGTTTCTCTGGACCCAGGAGTTAATGATTCCAAAATAAGTCCTGTACCCTTTCCCCACCAAACAGACCAGTCTTTCCATCATGTTTTCATTTGCTATAGAATACATCCATTTTCTTCTATGATGTCTCTCACTACAATAGGTAAGCTCTCCAGTAGCAAAAGTGGCACGTATTTACGTATTTAGAGTAAGGCAGTTCCTGAAACTTTTTATTAAGGTATAATTAATGCAACACTATATTAGTTTTAAATATATGACATAATGATTCAATATTTTTATGTAGTGCAAAATGATCACAAAACTAAGTCTAGTTAACCATACCATACATAGTTACAAAACATTTTCTTATAATGAGAATACGTAAGATCTCTACTTTCTTACCAATTTCAAATAGGTAATACAGTATTACAAGCTATAGTATATATAGTATTTATACATGGTATAAATATATATACATGGTGTATATATATATATATATATATATATGGTACACATAGAATATAGTATATATAGTATATAGTACATGATATATAGTATATGTGTATAAGTTACATTCCAGTTCCTAAAACTATTTAAATAGCTTTGACTGACTATTCAGTGGAAACCCAACCCTCTTTAGAAATTTGAACAGCTTGTGGAAGCTGAATCCTTTGTCTCAGTATATTCCTATCCTTAGGGACCTGTAGTTCATGTCTTGCAGTCAACAGTTTGAACTGTTTCATTCTCAACCAAAGAAAACTTACAAATTTGAGTTGTCACACTGAAAACAACTGGCCTCTTGATCAATCTTTCTTCACATCCCAAACTTATTATGGCCACTTTTCCATGCCCCATTGGAGAAGGAATTACTATTAATAAAGTAATAATAATAAAGCTTAATAAAGCTCACAACCCAGTTGTCTTTTTTCCTTAAGCTTGGCAATCAATTAACATTCCCTGAGTTGGCTACCTATAATGGAGTTGGCTTACACTACAGAATCAGGTTAGATGGAAAATGCTATAAGTTACGGAATCACACTCAGCAGAGGCAAAACAACCTAACTGAGGCGGAGTAAGAAAGACATAACTGTGTCTCCATCTCAGCTTAAGACAACGAAATACAGAATTCCTCACATGGTACACACAGAATCAGGACATAACCCTGCTGCTGTGTCTTAGAAAAAATTTTTAAAAATCAAGGAAGATACACATCTACCTCAATATAGAGATGATCTGATAAATACTCACACTCATTGTTTTACCTCAATTCCATGATTGGAGGCCACACAGTTGCTTTTTTTTTTTTTTTCTCTCTAGTAGGGATTAGTCATTCTCAGAGCAGAAAGTTACACACATCATTAGTTCAAAGGGAAAAAAAAAATACTAGACAATGTTTAATGAACCTTGTCAGAATAGTGATGGCTCTATTTGCAGATCTTAGGAATTTCTTAGACTTTTTATCCTGAAGAATCAGGTGGGCCCTAAAAACATGAACTATGCTCAATAAATTTATTTTTGGCAGGAGCATGAAAATAATGTGACCTTCTATCTGTTTAGCAGGGTTATGATTGTTGCTTTGCTTTTCTAACTCGTGTTCCATTCTTCTCACAGACCTAGAGTTGGAACCAACTGGGAATGATATGATTCCCTAATCTAAGCAAAACCAGAGCTCCTGGAGAGACAGCTTGGATGCTCCCTGTTTTTACCAGCTACAATATTTTCATACAATGATAAGTATGATGATTTGCCACCAAATAAATTTAAAATATAATGCAAACCATAAATGCTACTGGGAATGATGCTATCACCTTGACCTTCAGATCTTCACAAAGATGTTACCACCATTAGCCTCAGCCTCACTAGTTCCTGCTTATTTCTAAGTCTCTCTGACTCTCTAACAAAAGATTTATATCAGGAAGCACACACTTTAGAATTACCAACAAATTAAACTCCATTCCTTGATTACTTTGATTATTTCTCAAACTTAATAGGTACCATTAAGGAAAGTTAGGCAGCTTTCTACCATAAATAGCCTGGGCTAGCTCACTTCTTTAAAAAAAAAAAAATCTGAGAATACCTTCTTTATCCTAGTTGCAAATTATATAGCATTAATTAGTATCTACCTCACATAGAGAAAAATTTTGTGGCCTGAACAAGTCTGTTTTTGCCAAAGGTGAGTGATATCTCAGAGCAATCTAGACAAAGTTCTAAAAGCATCTATTTCAGTTTAATATGATATTCTTTCTAAGTGCTTTTTTTAAGTAGCATTGGTTTACAACATTGTGTATGTTTAGGGAATAGAGGTTCACATCTCTTCAGTGAATGATATCTCACTCTGCCACCACCAAAGTACAAAGAATCTTTGCTCAGAAAAAAATGATAGCTTGCTAACTCAACATTTGTGGGGGTGGGGGGGTGAGGGGAAATCATATTTTCAGGATAAATACCTCTGAAACTAATAAAAGCAAAGAAAACCTTCCATACTTATAGTTAATTGCCTCATGGAATGAAAACTCATCTCATGGCAGATATCTAGGTTTATATGGTAGAGATGAAACATTTTATGGCAAATTTAACAGGAATCCCTTTAGGCAAAATCATCCCTGGTCACTCCAAGATTATAAATCCCAGAAGAGAACATTTCATCATGTCAAGGTCAGGTACCCAACACTTAGCCAGGAACTAGGAAATAAATGCCTGTCCCCACTTGTTGCTTTTATAGTAGAAGGTGCAGTCCAAACTCTCACAAAGATTTCAAAATGGTAAACTAACCTCAAATAAAGGGTTCTTCAGATGCCATGAAGCAAAAAAGCAACAAACTTATCTACAGCCTATACATTTTACATTTTTAAGAAATTCTTTTTTCACTTCAAAATTTCACATTTCCAAAACTTCAAAACTAACTCTGAGAAATAGATACCATTGATCAAAAATATCACAAAAACATAACTCTATAAAGGTGAGTGCCCTATGTAACACATTTAGCAAAGAACCAAACAGAGACAACTTTCAATCCCATCATGCTCTATAAGATTTGTGAGAAAACCTTAAGAACATGTGCCCTGATCACATTAGTCTGGGAGATTTTATTATCTTCCCCTTGAAGAGTCATGAATCATTATGCACAATTTAGTATGCCCTAAATTTAAACCCTGATCCATTTTCCTCTGAGTATCATAGATAACTTTGCTCTGTGAAATTAATTTAGAAAAATGTTGCATTGTTTCTACTTTAGAAGCACATTTGCAAATTGTTCACTATAAACATGCCCATTTTGGCCAAGTATTTTCGTCCTTTAGCAGGTAAACCAGGTGTTTTTGTCACTAAGTACTAGTATACATAACATGATTGGGTAAAGTTGTGTTTTTGTGGTTCCTGTAGACCTATTTCCCAGCAAACTCTGAATACCTTTCAGCATTTTTTATACTAATAATTGCTAACCCAAATACTCCATTTTAGTACAAGAATTACGATTTTATTTTAAGGAAGAATTTATGCTTCCTTTCAAAATGCTTTCCAATCTTTAAGAGATGCTTTTGAATTTCTACCTATTGTTAGCCATAGCTGATTTTACTGATTCATGTCTCTTATACAGAGGTAGTTGTCTATTTTCTATGCATTATATATCAATTCATCCAAAAACCTGGGTCCTTACAATAAAAGAAACAAACAAAACTCTTTGTTTCAAAGAATAACATCCCTGTCAGTCAGGTTCTCCAAGGAAATAGAAATAGTAAGAGATAAAGAGATTTAGTTTATGGACTGACTTACAAACTTGCTGTAGGGTAAGGAAAAATGTCAGGTTTTTCTGCCCTCCCTCCATCAGGATAGATGATGGATCCTTGCGGTCCTGAATGCATGCCTGATGGCGGGCACCTGGAATAGGGTGTGGGCATAGGTAGATGGGATTCACCTGGGCTAAGACTGGGCTTTTAAGGACAGTGTCATGAGGATGCCAGTAGAAGCCGAGAACAAACAGAAGCCGAGAGAGAAGCAGAGAATGCTGGAGAGCCCAGACAGAGTGAAGACTTGCTGGGGGCTGGGAGGCCTGCCAGCCTCCCGGCCCCCCAGCACCCCCGCCTGCCGTATACCTGGTAATCCCAATAAAAGGCCTGCAAAAAATCACTGAGGACTCTGACTCCTCCTTCACCCAGTCTGCTGGATCCTAGAAAACCTGATCTGTGGCCATTCCTGCCCTTTACACTTGTAAAACTGGCAAGTCCCAAATCCGTAAGACAGCCTGACAAGGTCATCTGTGCAGTCTCTAGTTTTGAGGTAGCATTCCTCTCTGAAAAAACTCCCTTTTCAGCTCTTCAATTGATTGACTCAGGCCGGAGCACAGTATTAGGGGTAATCTCTGTAATTAAGATCAGCTGATCGTAGATGTTAATCACACCCACAAAATAGCTTTAGGACAACATTTAGACTAATGTTTGACTAAAAAAAAATAGGTACCACAGCCAGGTTGACACATAATATTTAACCATAATGAACCATCACACAAAACTACTGCTATTCTTGTTGCCCTTCACAGATTTAAAGTCTTCCAAGTTGCAGCACTAACTTTGTCTTTCACTAGATTCCCAGACTCTAACATCCCTTGGGAACCACCGTTTAAATGGTCTTCACAGGATTATTATATTAGTATCTCACCTGAAACTTCTTTGTATGGAGATTTTAATTGAAAACAAGTCAAGGGAAAATCCTTTTTATTCTGTCACTTAACTCAGTAGCAACAGATTATAATGAAGCAAGAATTTGATCAAATTGACAGTTTACCCAATTTTCATTTGGAGTAACAACTAAAAATAGTAAGTCTTAGAAGGTTGTTTTAGAAGCATTTGGTTTCCCTCTTGCCACCTTTCCCCACCAAAAAGGTCTCATGCCACTCACCCTATAGAGCAGTGATTCTGTACATTAGAATCCTCTGAAGAATTATGAAGAAAATCAAAACAGAACAGTGCCCAGTACTCAACACTCCCACCACCAGATTCAGATTTAATCATTCTTGAGTGGCACCTGCTCTATCATCAAGTCTTACCACTTCAGAAGCTTGGCACTATCACCCAAATTAGAAAAAGGAAAGAATGAGATGAACCAAATAAACACCTATTGATTACATGACTGATTTATAACACAACAGGGGCACATTTCACATACCACTTTATCTCAATCTGACATTGTATTTGCAGAATTTTGTCCATTAAAGAATGAAAGTTTTTGTTTTTCATTATAGAACACCCAGTCATAGACATTCAAGTCGAAAGATGACCTTTCCCAGAGGCTATTTCATCCTTGCCCATTTTTTTCCAGAATCTGAAATATTCTTTTCCCCATTAGGTTAAGAAAGTACTTAATTGCTTTTTCTACCACACCCACCACTACAAGGCTCCCTGTTTCATAACATGCATTTGGTAAATTCAGTTTGCAATTAACAATAATATCTACTTACCCATCCATACATCTGGGGCTTGGGGTTCCTGTATTCTCCCAGCGAGCAAATTTCTAACAATGAACCAGGTGTCTGTGTCTTCGCTCTTCAATGTCAGAAAGAGGGATCTTTACATCCCTTGTGTGTTACACCATGAAAAGCCTCAAGAAGGCTTTGCCATTTCAAATAAAAGTCTTTGCCTCCACCTTGTGGAGGACAGGTCTAAATGCGGACAATTAGAAATGCAGTCTGATTTCACATCTTAATAAAATTGATAATGCATGACCATCTGGAATACACTTCTTGTTGAAGTTCTATTTCTTTTATTGGTTCCTCTATTTAGAACAGCATGAATGCTTGGAGGCAAGTTACCAAGATACAGCATTTTCAATTTTTATTCTCAGAGATTTTAGCAATTTGTGTCAATCTAGCATCTTTGTACACAAAGAAACTGACCCATCTAAATTTTTCATTTAGTTTCTAAGAGTGCTTAAAATTTGAGAAAAATTCAACCTACTTTATGATTGTCAGGCTTTTCTGCCCTCCTGCCATTAGGATTGATGATGGATCCCTGCGGTCCTGAATGCACGCCTGATGGCAGGCACCTGGAGTAGGGTGTGGGCATACATAGGTGAGTACACTTGGGCTGAGACTGGGCTTATAAGGGCAGCATCACAGGGAACGACAAGGAGAACAAGCGAGAGTGTGGAACGGAACCACCAGAAGAGAGAACTCTGGAGAGTCCAGGAAGAGTGAAGATTTGCTTGGGGGGGAAGGCCTGCCAGCCTCCTAGCCTCCTCCTAGCCTCCTCCTGCCCGCTCACACCCCTGCCTGTCATGTACCTGGTAAAATCCCAATAAAACCTGAAAAAGCCACCGAGGGCTTCAGGACTCTCCTTTACCAGTCTGCTTAGATTTATAGAGATCCTGCCCTATGCCCTTCCCGCTACTACAATAGCGTTAGTAATAAAGTATGAATGTCTTTTCAATATTAAAATCCTGCTAATATTTGGTAAGAAAAAGATGTAAAAAATAGTAAAGCACTTTGCTTTTTACATAATTCCTTTTTAAAGGATTTTTTTCCCCACATTATCTCATTTTATCATCACAATCACAGGCAGAAGATAACTTAAGTCTTACCACATCATTTTAATTTACAGATACAATGGGTTTGGTGAGATGAGCACACTAATAGTAAACTAGTAGCAAAGGGAGATCTGACATCAGAGAACATCTACTAAGCCCTTTCCTGCATTCTCATATAGCATTTACTACTTTGTAACTGTCACTTCTCCACTGCTTAGCAACAAGCCACTCTGAAAGAGCAACTTAACAA